TGATTTGTAAACCGCTTAGAGAGGGCTGAAAGCCCTATGAAGCGGTATATAAGTCTAACTGCTATTGCTATTGCTAAATCTCCATTCCTTCCCCACTCCAGGGGAAGATTATGGCAAAATCCCCATTCCCTCCTGATTTGCTGGGACTCAGGAGGCAGAGAATAGATGGGGGTGAAGCTAGTCAGAGGTGGTATTTATCAGTTCTCCGAACTATTCAAAATTTCCACTACCGGTTCTCCAGAACTGGTCAGAACCTGCTTAATACCACCTCTGGAGCAAATACTCAAAAAAATATTCTCCTTCTTGGAAGACAAAGCATTTTGGGGTACGGTGTGCCCACGAGTCTTCTTGAGGGTAGAAATCTGAATTGTGCAAGTACGGACTTCAGAACTCTAACATAAAAGAGATTTATTTACAGGAAATAAATTACAGGGGTAGACAAAACCAGCCAGTGTGTGAGGACTGCATCTGCTAAATGTCGGGTTTGAGAACCAAAAGAAGGCCACAAGTTCTTACTAAATCTTGGTCAGGGTTGATTTTTACCTGACAGGATGTGATTGTGGTTGTTAAATACGATGGCTAAATAAGGTTGATTGTCAAGTTTGGGCCAGTGGTCTGAACACAAATTGAGAGGAAGAACACAATTCTGTCGTGTCTCTGGTGTGTCTGACAACAAAGGAAATATTTGCTCATACTTGTGAGGGGAAAAAAATAGTCATATCGGTCCATTCTCTGCGGCGTAAGCAAGCTGTGGTCGAATGGAACTTTTGCAAAGCATTTTTGCAATTAATATGGGGTCCCTCAGCCCGATTAACCCGATTCAAGATATTCAGGGAGGTACAATTTGGATCTAGTGATGTGCAGATCTTAGACAATTTGTGCAGACTCTTCCCAGGGGCAGAAAAATATGTTCTAGTTTGGTTGTATTGTTTTCACAAGAAGGGCTTCATTATACATAAAAAAATAAAACACAAACAAACGTCACATTCTATGCAATTGAATTGAAAACCCTGGCTATTGCATTAATATTGCATGACACCGTAGAATTCAATATAGTTAACTGCTCTGGGGTAGAAGCTGTTTTTCAGCCTATTTGCCCTTGTTTTTATTGTCCTGTACCGGATGCCAGATGGTAATAGTTCAAAAAAAAAAGGGGGGGTGCCCAGGATGAAATGGATCTTTAAGAATGTTTTGAACTTTCTTAAGGCAGGGGGAGCTGTAAATTCACGAAGAAGCCTTTAAATCCACTCTCCCCCCGGATCAGTGGTGGGTTTCAAACAAATTTGGAACCTACTCTGTGGGTGTGGCCTCCTTTGTGGGAGTGGCTTGCCGACCATGTGACCTGGTGGGAGTGGTTTGCCGGCAATGTGTTTTCTCTCTCCCTCCCTCTCTCTCCCTCCCTCCCTCCCTCTCTCTCTCTCTCTCTCTCTCTCTCTCCTTCCTTTTAGCAATAGCAATAGCAGTTAGACTTATATACCACTTCATAGGGTTTTCAGCCCTCTCTAAGTGGTTTACAGAGTCAGCATATCGCCCCCAACAACAATCCTGGGTCCTCATTTTACCCACCACGGAAGGATGGAAGGCTGAGTCAACCTTGAGCAGGTGAGATTAGAACCACTGAACTGCTGATCTAGCCGTCAGCTGAAGTGGCCTGCAGTGCTGCACCCTAACCACTGCGCCACCTCGGCTCAGTGGCCTTTTGTCTCTCTGTCCCTTTTTTCTTTTTTTCTTTCAACTCTCTCTCTCACTCTTTTTCTTTCTTTTTTCTTTTTTTATTTATTTCTTCCTTTCTTTCTCTTTCTCTCTCTCTCTGTGTCAGTCTCTCTCTCTGTGTGTGTGTGTGTGTGTGTGTGTGTGTGTGTGTGTGTGTGTT